CACAGTGAGTCGACTGTAGTGTGGATGCATACGTCGGGTGGATGGGTAGGCATGTGAATGACGTAATGATAGTATCCGACGGGGAAGCGGGCTAATCTATGACAGATAATTCACCAGAGTCAAACTGTAAACCTCGGGCTTTAGAGTCACCATTGCTAGAGAAAGCAGTGTCCTATAACACATCCTTAGCTAAAGGGATACAGAGATTTTACTAAAAACTCCCACGGTTGTCCTGATCAACAGGTCTTATTGACGCACCAGTTCTACCGCGGAGAAAAATTTATCTTATTTATAAATACCTCAGAAACGCTTGAGTGCGAAAACGCATTCGCCCTGTTTCGTGCAATTTTTCCAGGCAGGGAATGACCGTGCACGCACAAACTGAGTCCTAGTAGCAGACCGATACATTTTTACAATAAAAGCAGTATGACGTCTCAAGAAAATGCAGAGAAAAATCGAAGTTCTTCCATAAGCATACAATGAACTGCAATTTGAGGGATGTAGAACACTTGAGACGGTGAATGTTTGGATTTGTCCATTAGGTTATTTTTTCACAGGCACTGTTGAGGATCTTGGGTGTGGGTTTCACTCCTTGGGCGATGGTTAATGCCCCACGAGGTAAATGCATTTAAATGCGATGGAAATCTTTGTGATAACGGACAAGGAGCGCACTGGACATCCGTTTCATCCTGTTTAGGACTCGCGTTTAAATGCATTTATCTTGTGGGATATTGACCATCTCCCAAGGAGTGAAACCCACATCCATGATCCCCAGCGGTGCCTGTGAAAAAAAAACAAATGGACTAATCCAAACGTTCGCCGTCTAAATCGATTGAGTCATTCGCACAAGATGGGGNTAAAGGTTTCAATTCCCGACTCGAAGTTTCGAGTCCTGACAGGGACACACAGTAGGCATTGGTGACGAGTCCCAAAAAGGACGAAACAATTGTTGGTCAGTCATCACAAATATTTCCATCCCATTTAGATGGACTACTAACAAACTTCAGAGGCCACTAACGCTTATCAGAAACGAACTACTACGAAAGCCGGGAATTTGTAGTATTCGGAATAGGAATCGAAATCGGATAACGCGAACTCGGAATCGGACTGAAAACCTACTGAATAGCGCAAAATCAGGTAGAACAAAGACGAGCTGTGAATACAGTTAATTCTATTCAGAAAATCATGCAAATATACATCAGAAGCAACAAACAATCATTGGTCGATTCGTGAATGTCCAATCGACAACGATGTGGTTTATTTGTTTGCCTTCTTGCGTTCAGCCAATCCGGTTGGTGGNGAGACCACAGGATTGGTCCATTTCTTGATTGGTTACCTGGAGGCTGTACCGCGGTGCGTGCGTACTCGTTCCACGATCATCACAGAAGTTCTACGTCAACTGATTGAGGTTTTGCGAGCAAATAATCGTTTTACATTCTTAATCATTCAGACTGCAAATATTGTAGGTTGTACACACACCGGCCTAACCATCACACAGGACTTGGCAGTTAACCTGTCCAGTTGAAACAGTAAATAACATTGATCGTGATTCTATCCGAACAGCCGAGTCGCACCGATTGGCAGAAAGTATTTCCTCTGGGAAATGAAAAAGCTGCCAGGTAATTGACAAAATCTCAACTTAATCCTTTTATCTTGCAAGACAATTTCAGTATCGTAGAGTGAGCTTTGAGTAACTCAAGTTACTGAAACACTGAACTGCATGCGGTTTCGCCGGAAAGACCCAATAAGATCAGTTATTTAGATCCGATCTGAAAATGTTCTGACTGAGGAGGATGGTTGTATTTCAGTAGACTATGAATCACAATCAATACAGTAGTCGATTTAAGATCCGTCCGGTGATACGCGATAAGTACTATACTGTGAGAACCAGCTCATGTGAGTTTTAGTTGGTTTAGTTTAACATGGGCTCCATGTTTGACTACAAAGGCCCGTTCGAAATTTTCACCAAAGTTTCTTCTATTTTATCGATACTAAAATTAAACGATCAAACAAATACTTGACACACTCCACATTTCACCCGTGTGAAAAATTAGGAATAAATATGAATCATCGACATAACTCATCTCGGTATTTGAACAATTGTTTTCCTAATTAGGAAAATATCTATGGCATCGATCACCAACGGCAGTTGTTGGACACGTCACGTGTTTCCGACCCTCTCCGTCAACTGGAACACACCTCACATTTCCGTACTAGACTATTACACACATACACACACACACATGCACTCGCCCACTTCGTCGCATTCACCGACGCACCGAGAGTACATCACGCACTAACCCATTAACCATTTCCACTGAGTGATGTTTTCTCCCCTTGTCCGATTAACTCGTCTTATGTAGCCCATCTTTATCCCGTAAACGTACGTTCTATGAACCCAACGTGTTTCACTCTCTGCTCTTCGGCTTAGCTGCGTTCTACAGACTGTCGACTTGCATTTCTTATGAATCACCGTGGGTTTGCTATTGTCTGCTCGATTGAGCAGTTGACGTTACTACTTCCTCGCTGAGCCATATGTTCAGTCTTACATATCAATGCTGTCCAAACTCAAGTATTTGACAGTTTAGGCTCATCATAAATTTAACATGCGTACGCGAAAATCACAGAAAACATAGTAGCAAAAGAATCCGGTGGTGTTCGCGTCGCAGTGATTTAGTCGCTGTCACCGGTGTGCTTTGGACCCTATAGTCCGAGCTCTACCACCGTCATCCAAATTTGGTAGGTAGCTTTTCTGTCGTCCGTTTCAATACCACGGCTGACCTAGCGGGGCCTTATCTGGTTCGCCACTCCAAGTCTCGGAGCTTAGATTTCTGGTTCCCATCACTGAACAACAGATCTTCGTGACTATGGGGCTCTCCTCGTTTATGGTGTATGGTAAAATCTAAAAAATCAGTACCC